ACAATTGTGGTATTGACACAATGACAGTCAGTGCTGACTTATAGTCCACAATTGTGGTATTGACACAATGACAGTCACTGCTTACTTACAGTCCACAATTGTGGTATGGACACAACGACTGTCAATACAGTCCACAATTGTGGTATTGACACAATGACAGTCAGTGCAGACTTACAGTCCACAATTGTGGTATGGACACAACGACTGTCAATACAGTCCACAATTGTGGTATTGACACAATGACAGTCAGTGCCGACTTACAGTCCACAATTGTGGTATTGACACAATGACAGTCAGTGCCGACTTACAGTCCACAATTGTGGTATTGACACAATGACAGTCAGTGCCGACTTACAGACCACAATTGTGGTATTGACACAATGACAGTCAGTGCTGACTTATAGTCCACAATTGTGGTATTGACACAATGACAGTCACTGCTTACTTACAGTCCACAATTGTGGTATGGACACAACGACTGTCAATACAGTCCACAATTGTGGTATTGACACAATGACAGTCAGTGCAGACTTACAGTCCACAATTGTGGTATGGACACAACGACTGTCAATACAGTCCACAATTGTGGTATTGACACAATGACAGTCAGTGCCGACTTACAGTCCACAATTGTGGTATTGACACAATGACAGTCAGTGCCGACTTACAGTCCACAATTGTGGTATTGACACAATGACAGTCAGTGCCGACTTACAGACCACAATTGTGGTATTGACACAATGACAGTCAGTGCTGACTTATAGTCCACAATTGTGGTATTGACACAATGACAGTCAGTGCCGACTTACAGTCCACAATTCTGGTATTGACACAATGACGGTCAGTGCCGACTTACAGTCCACAATTGTGGTATTGACACAATGACAGTCAGTGCCGACTTAGAGTCCACAATTGTGGTATTGACACAATGACAGTCAGTGCCGACTTACAGTCCACAATTGTGGTATTGACACAATGACGGTCAGAGCCGACTTACAGTCCACAATTGTGGTATTGACACAAAGACATTCAGTGTCGGCTTAGAGTCCACAACTGTGCGACACAATGGCAGTCGATGCCGACGCACAGTCCACAATTGTGGTATCGACAAAACGATAGGCAGTGCCGACTTACACTTAACAACTATTCAGAAAATTGCTGACATGTTTTCATTGTTTTAAGTAACACGCACTCCTTTTATTGGTGTCACTCTTTTTATTAGTGTTTTGATCTTATAGCCATATTTTCCAAAGTAACAATCCTCAAAAAATTGTGTATGTGACATTGTGGAAATACTTTGTAAAAGGAGTTGGTAAACTCAGCCCGCACCAAACTTACCTATAGATTCTGACATATATCGCACACACGTACAACGAGAACTAAAAAAAAAAACACATTTTTATTTTGATATTTATTCAAGCAGGAACTGTGTGTTTGCGAATGTGGTAGAATTGTTTTATTTCGATCCATTTATCTGAATTTCAATCAAAATAGATTCCAAAAAGTATATGCAATAGATTCAACGTGAATTCGTTTTACTATACTGGTTTCAAGCTTATAATGGTTTCCAACGCATGGAATTGATTTTACTTTCAATTCCTTTATACAATTAAATGAAATTAAAAAAAGCATAAACGGATCATGTACCTGCTTCCGTCTGAAGGTTTCTCTAGTGTTTGGTATTCAAATATAGGTTATGTATTTAAGACTTTAAATTATTTTAACAAACGTGTGTGATAATTTACAATAAAATGTAACAAAAAGTATTGCAATTAATTTATATGACGTTTATTTTTCATTTTCTGTTTTATCTCTATTATTAAACTTATTGAATGAAATCTTGTGATCCATGGATTTTCCAATCCCTTTTATATTTTTTTGTTTGAATATTCCAATTGTTACAAAAAGAAAGAAGTAAAAATATGTGCAAAGTAATAAGGTGATTATAAAGTAATAATCTTCTTATACAATGTGTGGTAATTTGCTTTTGATATATTTTTATGGTTTCTATTTCCCTTTTTTATTTTATATATCTAAGATAGTTTCATTTGATCTATTTGAACGAAATGACCTTGAAATAACAAGTTGCAGTTTTTACTTAGTATATCATATAAAAAAATGTCTTTCAAGTTAAACAATTTTGATTTACAGGGAACATTAATCCATCTCTTTGTAAGCGGTTTTATAATAGGTCATTTGACAAGATTTATCATAAGCCCATGAAAGATAGCAGGCCTATCAGAAAGTAATAATACTATACTATGTATTTGGTATTGATTAAACTATGATAAAATATTCTTCGATAATAGATTACATGCAAAAGTTTCTTCTCTCACAATAGAATGAAAAACAAGTGCTCCTAATAAAACAACAAGAAAAAAAACCAAAGCTGCCAAAACAATCTAAATATTTTATTGCAACGTTCTCTTGATGGGTCTGACAATTCTCAAAAAAACGTCAACATCCATTCCATTAGTAAACAAAACAGAGATTGAAAGTGGTTATGAAACTACATCTTTTAGGTGTGATATTCGAAAACTACCCAAAAGATCTGTTAAGGCACAAACAATCTAATTACCTCCACTCGAGAAAAAAAAATAAAAAACCAGCTGACTGTTCTACTGTTTACACAAAGTATTCCTCATTTCAAACTTAAAAACTAATTCAAACGTGTTTCATGCGAAAGCATTACTAATGTAGATACCAATATTTCTTTCAAAGAACACTTTAATTTAACCAAAAATATAACTTCATCAATATACTTGATTTATTTTTACACATCATAGTTGTACGTTTGGTGGACGTGTTTTGTAAAAGACAGTTTGAATTCCTATATTCCGTTTTATCAATGACTTCCTTTTATGAATGATCATGACTGAGTTCTTCTTCGCGCTCCAAAAACTTCTGAAATATCTTGTTAACAGATACGTTCAAAACCAAATAATAAGGATGCTAGATATAGCAAGCACTGAATAGAATTAAAACCAACAATAGACGAAACTGAACATCCAAACGTTCATTAATATGAGGGTGTTGCAAACTTAGGGTAAATACAATAGATATTAATTATGTTATAGGAAAAGATGTGACGTATAAATGATCCTTTCTAAAGCTTTCATATGCTTACAATAGTTTCGATGTCATCAATTTAGGTAATACCATTGATCATCAATCATTATAATCGAAAGTAACTCCATCCTTTAAGGATCAGTCTGTTCCTGTCATCTGTTAAACCTCTATCACACCTATTGTGGCTAAAATGTTCAACAACAAACAGATGCTACAGGATTTCAGTATTGACGACTTTAATTCTAAATCTCCTGATTTTACCTGTGTCCCATTCATATTTTATCCGACTATCCACGTTATTTTTGTGACCTAAACATTGTCAACAGCACTTCTCCGGGAAAAAGTAAAATAACAAAAATACCGAACTCCAAGTAAAATTCAAAACGGAAAGTCCCTTATCAAATGGCAAAATCAAAAGCTCAAACACATCAAACGAATGGAAAACTACTGTCATATTCCTGACTTGGTGCAGGCATTTCCTTATGTAGAAAATGGTGGATTAAATCTGGTTTTATAGAAAACAACTGTCATATTCCTGACTTGGTACAGGCATTTCGTTATGTAGAAAATGGTGGATTAAACCTGGTTTTGTAGTTAGCTAAACCTCTCACTTGTATGAAAATGTCTTTGAAAAATCACACTATTACATAAACTGTTTGATAAAGGAATTAGGTATTGACAATCCCCTAGCTTATAGTCCAAATACATTTACCAAAGAAAAACCAGGAACATTAATAGATATGTTTATGTTACTTTGGTAATTCGACAAAAGATGAAGAACAAAATCTTCCTACACTGTACTGGAAACAGAAATTAGGTAATTGATCTTCAAAACTACTTTTTATTGCTGTGTTTGCAAAATTCTCATCGAAACCACTTTCTGATTGAGTAACATATATTCAAACAGCAACAAAACAGTATCATTCCAGCAGCACTTGCACACGGAGTTGTATCTCCAAGTTTTCAAGAGATATTAATTGTCAAAATGCGCATCTGGTGCAATAAAATTGGTACCGTTAATACTATTTATACGATATTCCAGAGCTTTCGTTTCTATCATGATTTCCTAGATGTATCAATAGGGTTACAGGAAATTGTTTGAACAAATGGTTCCTTGTGGTAAAACATGTATCTACAAAAATACCGAACTTTAAGGTGAATTCAAAAAGGGGAAAGTCAAAGTGAAAAGTTGTTCAAAACTGTAAACTTCAAACCTTCGAAATTTTAAGAACACCATTATGACTTGGTTGACCGTTATGGGATATCTGTACTTTTGAACGAATTTTAACTTCGACGGGTGCTACATGTGAAGCAGGATATGCTCATCCGTCAAGAGCATCTGAGCTCGCCCCCGATTTTAGACGGGGTCCATTTAGCTCAGCCATAAGTTTTGAATATAGTTATATGTGGACTGTTGTTTGTCTTTACGTCGTTTTTTTTAATGAAATTGTTGGTTTTGGTTAGATTTATGAAATTTCATTGTTCCTTTGTTGTCCTCTGCCAGTTTTTGAAAAACTCAAAATATACAGAAAGAAGATATAATTTATATCATGCCAGTATCAATCCATATTTGGCTCATATTTCTGTAATAATATTTATCAGAGACTAAAAATTTTTATAAAATATTGAAGATAATGAAGACCAAAACATGATCAAACCAGAACAGCCAACTAACATAGTTACGAACCATTTATTACTGCAATGATAGTGTTGCATTTTGTGGGGAATGTAAATACCAAACTACAATTCACATATTAGATACACCAAACTATTTTTTACAACAAAGAAAGCAACGAATGTTTCCTCTTCAAATCATTTGTATTAGTTATTATTCTGAGTTCTAATTTCCCGCTCGTTTAATACTAATTAGTTTCTAGTTCCACGTGTGTGAAACAACTAGTATCAGCTATCAGATAAAGTGCGCCATCTTGACTAATGTCAACACAGGAAGTTGTTCCAAACAGAACTAATGCATATGCATTGTTTCATTAATATCACCAGGTCTGTCATTTTCATAACTAAAATAAGTCTAACGGGATTAATTTTTTATGGAATTTTTCCATAAAATAAAAAAAAATCTTGTTAAGTTCCCAACTTCGTTCAATCTGTTGCGTCTGTGTAATGTTTGTAAATCTGCTTGTTATAAGATAAATTTATATATTATTCATATATGATTATAATATACAACCTCTATGGCAGCGTGTGTGGTTAATCTACAATTGAACAGGGATTCCAATACGTATTACAGCAAGTTTGATATAAAAATAATGTATTTGCCCTCAATATTGGTGCAATATTTGAAAGAAAATTGGGTTTCAACACCATTGTAATGAGATCAAACGAAATCATACAGAAATAATCTGTGGTTTGAAACCACACATCCGAATAATATTATGCCAAATCATTTTGTCCCTATCCCCATAGGTCTCACATATACATATGCAAAACGTTTTTTAATAATAAATTAGTCAAAGATATATATGTCTCAAAATTTACGCACAAACAGACAAATTAATTTTTTTGAATTATTTTCTGTTTTGCCATTCGACATCGATAGAAGTTTTTAACATTTTTGCTTTCAAAATTGATAAACCGTGAAAAGTTTAATATATTTATTAAAATGCAATAAAATTTATTTATCTTATACATTTACCTCCTACATCTTATTTTAGACATTTGTTCCTAATGTCTCTGATTTTTTTTAATTTAATATTTTAAGCAAACTTTTGTAATGTATTCAGTTAAATATGAAATAAAAAACTTTCTTATGAAAAAAAAACTCATCACAAATACATGTAACCATGCAGGCTTATAATTTGGTACATATATATATATATTTGTTTTCTGTTTGTAGAGAAGGTTAATGATATACATTTATAACAATTTTATCTGAGGAACATATAACATAATTATGATATACGGAAAACACGACTTGGTGGGTAAAATATGTATTTTTATTAATTCTTTTGAGCACATCATTGCAGTATAATCTCTTAATATCATTCTAAAACACGACCAAAAAATATATACAATACAAAATATTTTCCAAATCCTATTTAAATATGCTTCCAAACGATGGAGCGACAATAAAAAGAAAGAACAATATTGTATAAATATGTTTTGCTTTTAATAAAGACGCTTTTGGTGCATATTTCTTTATCAAGTCTAGCAGAAAATCAAAGGCGGCATATTTTAGTTAAAATTTTAATATTGTACAAAATATTTAATTGAAACGCACTTTGAACTTCGGATGTTATATTTCTTAAGCACAAGGTATGTTTTTCCTGGTGCCACTAAAACCGAATATTTTCTATTATATCTGAATTAACAAAGTAACAAATCTTTGGTTTAATTATAGATAAATATTTTTACGTACATAAGTGTTGTTTTATAATTAACTGTCCGTGTGCAAAAGTACAGCACAGTTTACTGTAAATAAGAAGACAGTTTCAATTTCGGAAAAAAAATGAAATAGAAATCTTAACATTCTAATAAAAACTTATTCTTTAAACCCAAATAAATAATCACTTTTGTATTATTAATTCCATCTAAATTCATAATTTTGTTATGTTTATTTAATATTTTTCGTTTACAGGAATCATTTTATTTGTCGTGTTGTTGATTTCGAAACAACCCAGAAAGAAAACAATCTTTGGTATTTGACATAAATAATATAATTGTTCCTCTTTAGATGTCTTTTATCTTCTTCTTCTTTTACTTCTTTTGAATATTTAAGGTTTTCAAATGATTTTGAATTAGAGAAAATAATATTTGAAAATAAGTTTATCATATCATAATATTTATTTTAAATTTTTAAGTAGTCCTCTTCATTCTTGTTTTATATTTGTTGCTATGATTCAGATATATATATAATGTATTTTGAAAACAAAAAAGTACAATTATAAAATATTTTGTATGGATTATAGATAGAAACAATGACAAACGGAAGCTGTATAAGAAACTGGGTAATGGAGAACATTGGTAATTTATAAGACAGTATAAGACAGTTAACTACTCAATTTTGAAAGTGCCGAATAAATAAGTTAAGGAAGAATGAATATTCAAAGTCAGATGTTCAAAACAAGTATCTTTAATAACAATTTAACATATGGATGAATTCCCGGAACATTTTGTTTCACAAAGAGGAATGACCAATTTCCCCTTTATGTGTTTCACGCAAAGATCTAGGATCAGTTTCCCCTGTATTAGCTTAATAAACAAAATTAATTATCATTAATGTTACACATTTCCATAAAATAAGAATATAGTTTTTGCGCCACACATTGCTGTTGAAAACAAAATTGAAAGTTAAACCTTTTTCCCAAACATTTGGATATCTAAAATCAAACGAAATAATTTATATCTACAAAACAATATGTAGAATTAAAATTTACCTAAAATGAAATTTTGTATTTAGTTAATAATTTCCTTCTTTTACATTGTTTGTTTTTTTTCTATGAAAATACAGTTTTGAGCCACACCTAGACTTGCTGTTTAAACCTTAAAGTACACACTTTAATCTAGGGTACTGCGAATTTTTGGACAAATTGAATGGCTTTTAGAAAATACCCTAGCAATCATACAACATCTCCTAATCTGTATACTGGTATGAAATTAATTCGGGGAAAATTGGTCCTAATTCTCTGCAAAATTTCTACTATATGGACATTCTTTGATTTTTATGCAAATGTATTCAGTAAAAATACTTTACGTCTTGTGTAGTTAACTCAGATTTATTGTCATAATTGATAAAAACTTAGTGTCATGCAAATGATTATGTCATCTGCAATATGCAAATGCTTTGTAGCGAATTGACAAGTATTAAATAGAATTATACATTTAACAATTATATAACGAATACTATAAACATTTACAACAAACAATCAGCAGAAAATTAAATATAAAAATAAAAACAGATAATGACAGGATCTAATTTACATTTCGTGCGTAGAAAAGTCACAAAAGGGTCCTAGCGGATTAATATTCAATAACAGATGAATCGTCTACATTGTAAAATTCTGACTCCCTTAAAAAATCATCTTATGAAATGAAGCGAAAACGGCATACAACATTGCTTAGCACCTTTTATATAGTTTACATGCACCATACATTGTAGTTACAAAGAAAACGTGAACAGCTCAAAGATTAAAATGCTGACGGTATATGCACAATTTCTCAAAGACAATGAAAATTATCATAATCTCATGGGATTACATATGCATATTTTTAATTTACATGATGTAACGAATTGTAAAAGTATTATATTATAATTAAACAAGCTTTTTTTTATCGTGTTATGTCCTTCAACTGTTTGGTGTTGTTTACAGTTAAGATTTTAAGCAATTTCAAAAAGTAATTTTATTCAAATTCAAAATATTTATATGTACCAATGTAAAGTTTTGAAATTTCCCGTTTTACAACTGTACAACACAAGTACACTAGTTTACTAACGGATAATTGTTAATAAGATTGAGCACCGATACTTCGTTTATTAAGAGTGTTCTATGCCATAAATTGTTGCAGTCTGACGTAGAGATTGATTACTGTGAGGGACGTTAAACGCACCAACCGACTAATGAATTGCCAGTACGTTTTATCTGTTCAGTTTGTTATACAGCATTGAAGTAATTTTTCTATTTTTACCTTCTTGCTCCAAGAGTAATACATAATTTCTGTGTGGTATCTATGATGAGTTTATTGGCTCATTATTCTGTTGATTTGCCTACATGCTTCAGCTTAATAAGACTTGTCGTATCAACATTCAAAAGACTTGCTGTTTACAAGAAACCTGAATGCAAGGATCCACCATTATTGGCTGCTATCTCACACAATTGTGGACAGCCACATTTATGTTTATTGTTATCAAATATTATTCGAACATACTCTGCAAGGGGTATTAATCTATTAATTGCATTTTTAATTACTTTTTCAAAATGCTATAACTATGTTCAATTATGAAGCTAACGGTTTATATATGCGGAATTGACAACTTAGAAATAATTAAGAAACTAAAGTTTTTATTTTTGCCTTGGCATTGTCAATTTGTTGCTGAGTTTGAATGTCCCTTTGGTTCATTTCGCCTCTCCTTTCCAACGTCCTCGGGTAACATTGACCTCAGATGAATTTGGCCATTATCTCTAGGTACCTTTTGGTCGTCATATATTCAAGTAGTTATACATTCTTTGCCTTCTAGTATTTGTTGAGTTAAAGCGTTCTTGATGAAAGCAAACAGGAAAGTGCTTTGGACGCAAAACAATATTTAAATTAAAAGATTTTTTTACAACTTCAAATAAACCATATACTTATATTCAAAAATCGCTACATTATGCTGTTTAATGCAATTTTGAACGATAATTGCAAATTAAACTTTTCGAAGCAATGAATAATTTGCTTTTAAAGACATTTTTGTTTAATTTGTATTTAAAAGAAAATACTTGACTTTACATTTGGTTGATGTTGGTTTTATCAGCTCTTCGCAATTTTTATTAGGTTTTGGATTTTCAAATATTTTGGCCTCGATCATCACTGAAGTGATATTGGTTATCGAAATGCGCTTTTGGTTCAGTAAAGTGGTACCGTTAATATTATTACTATCACTATTCAAAACCTATGCTGGTGGACTATTAGTCCCCGAGGATGTCATTTGACCAGTAGCCAGCACTCGGTTTTGATATGAAAATACGGATAGTTTTATTCAAATTTTCAAATGATTTCTTCCTCGTGCATAGCTCTGATTCCTTGTCTCGGTTTTGCTATGATTTTGGTCTTATTTTTGGTCTTATCAGTTCTTCAACGTTTGTATTAGATTTTTTATTTTCAATAATGTGCTACTGGTGTTACAATAATTTGTACCGTTATTTGTTTTTTACGTCGGATAAACAGGATTTTTGGTTAAGAAAATCCTTCTTATTCATTTCTATGGATACGTAAAAACTCATCAAAGATACCAGGCTTATAGTTTCGTACGCATAATTTTGTGAAATACTGCAAAAATATATAAAAATTGCAGTTTTAAGCCCTCTCTAGGCATTTTCAATTTGGTCTTATTCTCGAAAATAAGTATTAATGTTTTACAGCATTTAAGTTCACATATAGCTCTCAAAATTATTGAAAGGCTTTTAGAAAATTGTCTTATTGTGAAATAACTTCAATGGAAATTGGTAGTTCGACCTCGTGTTTTCAAAATTACCACCACCGATGTCATCATTATACATATATCTTTATTTTTTAAGAAGGTAGAGTCAGCTAAATTTGAAGAAAAAGGTGGGTTGATTTCTCCCGAATTTTTTTCCACTCGCTGGTTCAAAAACCGAAATATGATTAACCTAAAGAAAGCTGAAAATTATTGAATCAAATTATTATTCTAACCGAATTTTGTCACAATTTTGCATATATTTATAAATGTTGTACATTGTTGGACGTTGTTGTCGCAGGAGATTTTGACAAAATATTGCAAATCCCACTTTGTTTGTTAAACATGTTGAAGTTTGCCACGAGACACATATTTTCAAAAAAAAATATGTAACGAAATACGATAGAATTTTGCTTTGGTAAAGAACGTCCATCTAGTACATATTTTGTGTTAATAATTTTGACAAAGTCTTACAAAATTGCAGTTTTGATCCATTTTCAGATATTTCCATTGAGCTGTATTTCAAGAAATACGACTTGATATTATTACAACACCAAAGAACATGCATGCAGCTGTGCTATTATAACTCTTAGCATAACTGAATACTGTTTTTGAGAATATCCCTAGTATTGAATAGATCCAAGGGTTAGAGGTAGGGAAATTTCCCTGAATTTAATTCAGTATCATGGCTTTATGTGTTAACTTTTGTAATCTTCTTATAATTTTAAGACCTACCTCTAAATAGATCATCAAATTATATCATCCGGAAAATAGCGTATAGCAGCAATTTTGACAGATTTTGGCATTTCGAGTACTTTTCCGATGGTTGGAGACTTCAATTTATTGTTTAAATTTTACATAATCTTTTACAGCATCAATCAGCACTAAATAACATTTTATTTTGATAGAAATATGCATAGCATAATTAATGAACAATGTTTACATTTATGATGTAGAGTCTTAAAAATTCAAATTCCGGTAGGATTTGATAACTTTGAAATTTTGGCCATGTGCATGAAACAAATACAATGGATTTTTGTCTGCCCTTCTGTATTACTTTACTTAACAACAGGACCATAAAAAAAACTTGTCAATCTTCATATAAATTTATAGAGCTACAACTTTATGCGTGTACTAGGCTGCTAGAATATTTTATGGAGTTTTAGTATGAAATCCAAAACTGGAATTTTAAACCACAGGTTGTCATTTTTTTTTCTTATTATTTCACCGCAAAAGTCGGTACGGAGAATATTTAAAAAAAAAAACCAAGCGTTATTACAATTTTGTATTTTTATGAATTTATTGATGTATTTAATTGAATTTGGTTCACTGTGAATTTACCGCAAAAATAGTAAAATCTGCTATTTGTATGAAATCGTAATGAACAGCACTGTAAAGTATAGCACCGTATACCATTGACTGTTAATGTTGAATAGTTTTGAAATATATTCACAAGAGTTTTGAATACCTTATTCTAATAGACTCCATAAAATTTTCGATTTTCAGACAGGTACTGAAAGAAATTGCCCTAAGATATGGTGCAAATATAACATAGAAGATATAGATTAATAGTTGAAACAGAAGTTCGCTGCTCTTGGACGATTCTTCGAAGCAAAGAATAAATGTCATAGATAAAATAAAAAAGTTTGAAATGAATTGCATGACAAATCGACATTTCAGATTAGATGTGTACAAAAACACAAGGAAACAAAACCAAAAAGTTAGTAATTTATGGATATATGATCTAATATGTATTTAGTTATATTTATTTGGACTTTTATGTTGGTAAAAATATTATAGATCTGTATGTTGTTCAATTGTTTTCGCTGAATTTTGTTCTACTAACATTTGATGCAGAATGTACCATCGAACACAACGAATTTAGTACCTTTGTTTCGATAAACAACGGATCTGTTATGAGCTCTTTGTTATCAAGTGTATTTCCTAGTCAATGTTACAACATTATATATAATTAATTAACAATGGGTTGGGTTTTTTTTCTCAGCTAAGTTTTATATTTTAACAAAACTAATTCTGCCACTAAAGCAGATGGAGTTGACCATAGAAGGATTTAGATTTGGTGACTTTGAACCTCGCTTATTTTATTTTTGCCATGGCGTTGTCAGTTTGTCATCGAATATCTCTTTGATATCTTCCGTCTCTTTTTTGTAGCTTTCGATATTTTTGGAATCTATTGCTGTTTTGACCTTTTCCTTAAGACATTTTTGATGAAGGTTTAAAACTAGGCTATAGATTCCCTGGTGCAGGTTCAGTCCAGAAATATGCTACGAACTACATATTGATTACGTTTTATCTTAATTAATCTTATGTAAACTGTACTGATTAATTTGAAATGTACCAATGTATTAAATTAAAAGTGAGAATAAAAAAAGAATCAAAACTCATGAATCGAAGACAGACTGAAAAATAAAAAAGGCCGAAAGACAAACAACAGTCTACACAAAATAAAACTAAAGACTGAGCAGCACGAACCCACCAAACACCGGGTGTTATTCAAGATGCTCCATTGCCACAAGACGTTAAGCGACCAGCAATCAATCAATCAATCAATTAATCCATATGCTCCGGAATGGTAAGCAGGTACTGCGCTACATATTTCAACCGTCGTGTTTCTCATAAAAAGTACAAGTTCGATGTTAAGTCTGATAAAATTATTTTGCAACAGTAACAGTCTTGTTTATCCCTGTATCAAACATTCACATAGGATTACAAAATTTTCATAAACCTATTATATTGTGAGGATTTGACAAGAATATTTACCAATTAGCAATCTAAGATGCCATATCACCAGATATACCACATCAACGCATTTTAACAGGAGTTACAAGGTGGGTGTCATTTGTTAGGAAGGTACTGTTGACAGTCAGGAGTACCTGAGTTTTCTCTCGGTTTTCATATGGGTTTATGTTTCCCAATCTTTAGTCTTTGTTCAGTCATGCACCAGGATAATTCTGATTAAGGTTTTATTTTTGGTAACTTCAATGTTTTTTCTCTTGTTGTTTACTATTTACGTTCAATCATTATACGCCTGATATCTTTAATGAGGTATTGCATTTGGATGAGTTTTGGGGTTTCTTGCTTTAAAAAAGTTTGTGGGTTTTTTTAATACTAAAAAAAACGGCTCCGAAGTAAAAGCCATGAATAAATAAAGGCAACAGTAGTATATCGCTGTTCAATAGTCATAATTCGAGTAAGCAAAAACAAATCCGGGTAACAAACTAACACCGAGGGAAACACATCAGTTATAAGAGAAAAACAACGGAACAACAAAAACTTTGAACTACAACAAAAGCAAACGCCAACATACATAGAAACGGACTGTCTAATAACAAGTGCCATATTCCTGACTTGGTACAGGACATTTTAAGAAAAAATGGTGGGTTGAACCTGGTTTTATCGCTAGCCATGAGCCATTGTAGCGATAATACATTAGATGCAGCAGCAGTGTTATTGATGTTCAAACCATACATGATTACATGATATATAAATCTATTTGAGGTGGTACCCAACACCTTGACTAATATTAATTTGGCTCGTTTAATTTTCATAAAATTTTGACAAAATGTTTACTTTGACCCTTTGACAAAAATATAAAAATTTCAAAAAATTTGAACCAACCATTTTATCAGAAAAATTTCATTGGTTATATAGCAGTTTGATAAACACTAATTTTGATCATTTAGAAGATTAATATTTCCTTAACAATACAACGTAATTAAAACGTTTAGCTGATTTTTACAGAGTTATCTCCCTGTAGTGTTAGGTACCACCTTAAAGAAGATACAAATTAAAATAAAAAACAAAATCCGAGGAAATCACAGGAACTCCAAAAAGACTGAGACCACGTGTGTTGACAAGGTAAGCGTCTCCTGTTATAACTGTATTATCTGCCAACCAAATCCACACTTAGTAAGAATAGTAAGCAAGTTCAAAAGTATTGACGATTCAAATTATTATTTGACTTTTGTAGGTTTTAAGTAGATCTGCTAATTCTGAACTGTTGCCAGCTGTATGGTCATTGATTATGTGAAGAGTTGTCAAAGCATATATATTGTAAATCTGATGAATTTTAGTTTTTAACTAATTATTTGTCTGTGTGATATACGCAATTTTGCGAATGATCAAATATTGTTATGTCGGCCTCTTTTTCGGACATGTATTCATTAGAAACATTGCTACATCAAAATTATAAAATTTCATTTCAATTATAATAATAATAGCAATAATAATAATAATAACAATACAATGATAATAATGTTAATAATAATAATATAATGATAATAATCTTCATGACTGTACGATATTTGTTCTTATTGGTCTTTTTTTATTTGTTCTTATTTGTCTTTTTTTGTTCAAACAGTGTAACAGAACACATGATTTAGATTTAATTTCGCTTTTCTGCATTATTTTCATCTACAATATTTAAAAACTTCTTTTTGCATAGGGTGTCACAGATTCGTTATTATTATTCAAATCAACCTTTGACACAAGAAATTAAAAAATTGTAAACTTAATCCGGTAAATGTGACTTACATTGTATCATACCAAATGACGCGACCTTAAGTGGCCACCCAAAATCTATTTCAAATTTGAAAAGTGTTACAAATCGAGTTGTTTATTAATCCTCAGAAATCTGACGTAAATTGGTGTAAAACAACCACCACGTTCCCTGCTATAGAGCGGATGTCAACTTCGTTTCCTTTCAGTCGGTGGTATCTGTTTAGGCTTTGTGGTATCAGACTGAATCATAATTATCCAATTAGAACTTGTAAATTGCTTTATAGAAATTGTAGGTTGTTTTTGAAGCTTTTATTCTTCGACGATAGTTTGATTTCAGTAACATCATCTAATTGAATTTTAAAGCCATTCAAATTTCATAGTATCAAAATATATAATAGGGGACAAACATTAAAATATCTTTAGTGGAAATATTAATGGGTTTGACAGTAGTGTTATCAAAATGGTCTTTTCTTCTGAAGAAATGGCTTGTATGTTATCATGTTTTGTGTTTTATTTAGTTCTATATGAGTTGACAGGTTTTATGTACAGATAGACCACCCGGCCGTCATACTCCTTTGATTTTGATATTGGCAATCCAGGCAATACAATTAAGTCAAAAGCATTCAAAATCTCAAAATTTACTTCGTTGATTAATAATATTGAATTAAGAAAGTGAACATTTTTATAACTTACAGAATCTTGCAGATGAATATTGTTGATATGTAAAAGGGGATATTGTTTTTATAAACTTCCAGCATCTGGCTTGTCAAGACTTGATACATACCAAAATTGTTTGATGGAATCATATAAAAATGTATCATTAAACACCATTTACCAAACTAATAGGCAACATTACGATATGATTCTTATGCATACAAAGACATATTGACACATTAATGCCATAAAAGATAAAAAAAAAAAAAAAAGAATCTTAGTCCATAAGTCGTCATAATTTTTTTTAAAACAATATTTAAGATATTAAACTGAAATTTTCGGCCAAACAAACGTTTATTTCTGAACCAAAGTTTTTTCATCAGTTAAAGATGGCGATTATTAGATTATCATTCGTCTCATTGATCGACAATAAACAATCTTTAGGATCCTATTCCCAGTATTTGATTTAAGCATCGTTTTAAACATAAACGTTGAGATCTTCTTTGTTGTCTCAAAGTTATATATCTGTTGTATGTTGTAAGGCTTTTTGCGCACTTGTTCGGTCAATAAATAGGGCGATTTAATTAATAGTTTCATGTATATTATTTTCAATGAAAATAAAAATGACAAAACAGGAGATGTTTTGAGAATAACAAAGATATGTAAAGTTTTGATAGGTCTTTTAAAATTAGTTTTCATCCCATCTTAATTTCTAGCAATTGAATAACTATAATTTAAATAATTTGAATAAATGTTTATTATTAGGCATATTTGATTACGGTGGCGATGTTTTCTGACGGTTAAACCACAGCACGCGCGTGTGTGATCATGCATCGCGTGCATTTGTGAATTTTTTTAATCAAAATTGGACTTGTTTTTGAACAAATGTAATCTTGTGCACGTGTGCCGCACCCGACTTTATTTATACGTTGATTAAAACTGATGAGAACTAATGAATGGGAATAAAGGAGTTCCGAAAGTTACAAGTTTAATGATATTAAATAGAAAAATTGTGCTAATACAGCACAAGGCACGGCTCATCTTTGTAAATATTTGGAACAAATAAAAGAGACATGTTAAGACGGATTAAGACATGTTTTCCTCACATCTGTCCTCCTTTTATTCTGTAATTGAGGAAAAGCATCTGTTTTTGTTCCATAAAAAGGCAAAAGACGATTGCTCTTTTATTTACCTTCTTATATTTATTGACTTCCTGAAGCAGTGGAAATGAACTGCCACCATTAAAATGGTCGGATAAAAGTAATGAGATGTTCCTTGTGTTGTTAGAAATGTTTCGTAGAATGTATCCTTAAGTGGTTTCGATACCAATAAGAAGTAAAAGATACCTATTCACCTGTGTGAAGTAGAGGAAAGGTAAAAAAAAACACCAACGTGATACACAGGTGGTCGAATCATAAGAAAAAAATAATTCAAAGAACACCGTACAATCAGACATAAAGAAAAAGAGTATATAACAAAAATACCGAACTCCAAGGTAAATTCAAAAATGGGATGTCCATAAAAACTGTCAAAATAAAACATTATCAACCAACGGAACGAGTGGGAAACAACTGTCATATTCCTGATATGGTACAGTGAACATCAAAATCTAAAACTTTGGACTACATAAACGTCCATAAATAAAATAAAGAATATCAGGTTCCGATGGTTTTTGCCTTTTATTATGTCGTAGGGATAGACAACTGCACATACATCAGCGGATGTTTTTATTTCATCAATGGAAATTAGTAACACGACAGGTGTCAAAAATTGAGCCGGAATTGTTTACCCTTCCGGAGCACCTGGGTTTACTCTCATGTATTGTTCAATATTTAGTTTTCTATCTAGTGTTTTTGTATCCGGTATTTTATTCCTGTTTTATAATGTTCATGAAATGAATTTGTCTGTTTTCCGTCCAAAGTTGTTTTTTATTGTCTCCTTGGTATTTTCTAATTTTTCCGGGAATGGTAGGCATACTCTTCTACGCATGGGATAAATAACATAAACATGACACATTTTGTAAAGATCCACGAACAATTTTACTTTCTATATATGAGAAACATTGTGCTAGCATGATGGTAGGCAGTTGTTTTCAAATTCTTATGTAGCAAACAATAACGTACATAAATTCTGTTACTAGAATTCATACATAATCTTCTCTAAGGCAAAATTGAAAAAGCACCTTGCAAAGTTCTATCATTTCACCTTCAGATATATTGAAAATGTTCAGTCGCTCAATAACCCACATTTCAATGAGTGCTTACATCGCATATATCCAAGTGAACTCAGGCTTGAGATTAATGATACCACCGAAAGTAAAATGTCTGCATTATATCTTGATATTTTCCTCGATATTGAAACAGATGAAAGACTTCAAACTATGATGTATAACAAAAAACTTGATTCCAACTTTCCGATTGTCATCTTCCCATTTCTCAGCAGTGATATAACATCCACTCTGTTCAATCATATGGCGTTTACATATTGCAGTCAATGCGTAACGCTCGTGCTGTTCACACTATACGGACTTCATGAGCAAAGATGTGCTGCTTTCACAAAAACCGCTCCAAACAGTTATGAGAAAGAACGACTGAAATCGAAACTATATAAGTTTAATGGTCACCATCAGGAATTGGTTATCCGATACGATATTTCGGTGTTTAAAATCACTATCGACATGTTTTTTTTGGGTTTTAGATCTTTAGTTACCAGTATAGTCGTCACCGAGTATGTCCTATTCCCGATTGCGATATTTTGACTGAGTCTGAAGTCATAGCGGGAGATGCATGCATAGCAGGAAATGCTTACCCTGTTGACGCACCCGGTCTAGCTTCTTTTAGAGTTACCCTGTTGACGCACCCGGTCTAGCTTTTAGAGTTACCCTGTTGACGCACCCGGTCTAGCTTCTTTTGGAGTTCATGCATAGCTTATGAAGCAGTGTGGGATCTACGATGACAGATTTGGACTACAAAATAACAATTAGATATGGTATGATTGATTGGCCATGATACAGCTTTCTACAAAAGATCAAAGGTGAAGTTGGGAACAACTACAGGTAGGTGTACAATAATTAGCAACAAGAATGTGTCCACAGTACACGGATGCCCCACTCGGACTATCATTTTCTATGTTCAGTGGACCGTGAAATTGGGGGTAAAAACTCTAATTTGGCACTAAAATTAGAAAGATCATACCATAGGGAACATATGTACTAAGTTTCAAGTTCATTGGACTTCAACTTTATCAAAAACTACCTTGACCAAAAACTTTAACCTGAAGCGGGACAGACGGACGAACGGACGCACAGACCGAAAAACATAATGACCATAAATGGGGCATAAAAATCAATTCTCTAGGGATGACAATATGTATTACTATTCAAGCGAAAACTAACAGCCTGCCACTGAATTACAAGCTCCTGTCTTGGTACTGGCACATACCAATGTAGCGAGGTGAAACATGTTAATGAGCCATCATCCCTCCCCATGACCTGACCTAGTGTATTGTTTGTATTTTGAAGTGATTATCATCAAAGGACCTGGATCATACAATTTTGAGAACGCTACACATTTTGATTATGAATAAAACATTCTCAAATCAGAATCTTTAAACTTTTCAAATGGAAGGAGGAAAGCACCAAAGTATTAAAATATTTTCTCTTCTAGTTTCCTCCACCTGGTGATCAAATTAATTCATAAACGATAATTGTTATGTGGGGAAAATCATGTTAAAAGGGTTATCCTACAAGTTGGCTTGGCAAGGCTGTATTTTCTGTTGCTTTATATATCATATATATTTTGCTTTGTTGTATTTTTTCCATCTTTTGGTCCTGTTTAAAGGCCATCTTATAACATTGCCGACAGAAAAAAAAAAAACACTTTATGATTCTGTTGAAAGCATCCACGCATGGATTATTTCTAATGTTCATGATGAAGCAAGTACAATACTAACAGCAATTGTTGTGCTTGACATGACTGTCACACAATATTCTGGAGGGGAAGCTCAACAACTAGTTGTAAAAGTAATCAACAACAATGGATGCAAAGCAAGGACCATACAATCAAAGTTCTCAAGAGTAAAAGGACTGAAGATGATTCCCTACACCAAGCGCAAAAATAATATTGAACCATTCCCTGAATTGTCAATGGCTGCAACATTGTAAACAAATTACCCAGAATGCTTAGAGTCTGAAATATCAAACTGCTAAAGGGATTTCAGGGGGGGGGGGGGGGGGGGAGATGTTAACAATTCAAAACAAGTCATGCATGTGCAAATCATGGAAGTAAATTGACAAAATACAACAACAATTTCATCTAAATTTTATTCGTTTTGCATTATTTGCTGTGAAATGCACACTTTAATGCATTCATTAACTCTAACAAATATAAATGAAATGAAACAAATGCTGGTCTTGTTATATCACTGGCTGCTTAAAAGTGACATATATAGGTAAATAAGTAAACTCTATCCAATGTATTACAAGGTAAATAAGAAAGATTCATAAAATTTATTACAAGGTAAATAAGTAAACTTTATCCAATGTATTACAAGGTAAATAAGTACCAGTCATCCAATCTATTACAAGGTAAATACGGAAGATTCATCAAATCTATTACAAGGTAAATAAGAAAGAGTCATCCAATCTTTTACAAGGTAAATAAGTAAGATTCATCAAATTTATTACAAGGTAAATAAGTAAACTTTATCCAATGTATTACAAGGTAAATACGGAAGATTCATCAAATCTATTACAAGGTAAATAAGTATGAGTCATCCAATCTATTACAAGGTAAATAAGAAAAATTCATTATTACAAGATTAACAACGATTTATTTCTTTTAGTTAGCAGACATTTGTATTGAGAGACTAATTTGTGAAACATGTATCTGTAATCTTTGAAAATGTCCATTTTATTAAATAAATAATCTGTCAATTTCAAAAATGTTAAAGCCATGCATATTCACATGTAATTTATTAATGCATGAAGACATTTTAGGATAGATATTTGTAAAAAAAAATAAACTATCTTATCTACCTCTAAAGTGAATTTATAGAATAGTCTGAGAACATCCAATAGGATTTAATACAATACTATATTTACAACATTGGTGATGTTAATTGTTCTTTTCATACAGAGTTTACTTCTCATTGTTTATGATGAATTTAATAAAATTTTACCGAATGACAAATTTTCTCCATTTCAATATATTTGTAAAATCTTTATCAATAGAACTGGACTAACATTTTAACTTTCATACTGTGTCATTTAAGCAAAGCTTCATATGATATTGTGTCCATCAGGATGACTTGGCAAACTACAAGTCAATATACTGCTATTCGTATTAGTCATATATTTGAGATGACCATTGGTCAACACTAGTTCAGGAGATTTTCCCACAATTTTTCAGATAGACAAGCATATACATAACGAAAAATTATAAAACTTTGTTCTTTTGAGTGTAAGCTTAGTATAAGCATTATATATACTTGTATATGAATATAAAACCCTCAATATTATAAGATGATCAAACCAAAGTTAAGTGTTTAATTTACATACTGGCACTTTCTAAGAAAATGTTTAAATAGGTTAAAGCTACTTTTGAATTCAATTCTTTATAAAAGAAGAAAAATATATTTAAAATGATGATCATTCTGAGCTTACATTTTTTTGATTGGCAAGTTAACATTACATCAAAATATAATATAGATGATATTATGTATTCCTGTCTTTAGGGAAAAATCAAAACGCAATATGTTTATACCATAGTGACTAGACATTTAAAACTTTTCGAAACACATTAAGACAATATACAGATGGTCGTTGAAAGTCTATTGTCAGATGTACAATACAAAATAAATACAGGTCACGACACTAGTCTATTAAGTCAGGATTATATTATCTTTAACAGCAAAAAGATCTCAACTGTTTGTGTGAATCCCGCATGCTATTACTATCTGTAAAGGAGCTTCTTCATTTTAATAGTGTGGTTATGACCAAGAGACAGAAACTGGATCGGTTATCTGGAATTATATACAAGTACTATACTGGTACTTTCTAGCTGAGGCTTATGTAATGTTATTGTTCAATATAATGATTTATCTACGTAGAAATCTGCTGCATGGTTTTACCATGGAGAACATGGAATCAGTGAATTATGTATTTGTTTAATATCTATATAAGTTGTATCTGCATATCAAATCATCAAAATATTTTGTAAACCAATTTGGATATCAAAACGAATTTTTGTTATGGTTCCAATGATAAAGATTTTTTGATTTTGTATAATAAAAGAGATCGTAAACTGAGAGATCTGGAATAATAGCTTGAGGATCTAACTCTTAAAAATAAAATTAAAAATTCTGTACAATTTTTACTGAGAACAAAATTCCAATAACTTCTTTGATGAGATGTTAGATAATGAGTTATGGCATCAAGCTGGGAATAAAGAATTGAAATTAGGAATTAAATAAATGTTTGGGGAATGTAAATATTAAATGAAGATAAATCTCTATATAAATATATCTAAACTAAGCACCTTCTGATTAAACATAACAAAATAACATAAATAACTACCATGTGACAGTCATGTGGTCACTGTGTGACTATCACATGATTTCAAATGTAAAAACAAAATAAAAGAATCTCATCTCAGATTTCCTCTACCCAATACTGTTGTTTGTGTCAAAGGTAAGGTATACTATTAAAGTCCAGACAATCTGGAATACCATTAAATCTCAATCTGTACTGACAATAAATTTTAAACTCAGTCGAACTAACAATAAATCCTGGTGACATATATTAGGAATAATTAAAACATAATATTAGAATAACATCAAAATTAAGTGATTTCTGATAAGTTCTAACAACATCATTGATTTTCAAAGTCCAATTTTTATAGTTTTGTTCAAAATATATATTTTAGTCATGAATTGTAAATTTAAGTTACAAATTGTAACAAACTACAGGATCTGGGAATCTATACAAACTTAGGGATTCTTGATTTGTTTTATTCATCACATTACAGTTAGGTGGTCAAATGGTGGTCTAACATTTATGCTTTAATGGAGACGCCTATTAATAATTATTTTTTTTATAAATTATTTTTCATACAAATCATAAATTTATATAACATGTGTTTACAGAACTTAAAATATTGTTCAAAACGAAGTAATTATTATGATTTGATCCAATGTAACATTTGTTAGAATAAAAAATAACATATTCAGTATTTCAAAAAAATTTAAATTGTTCATTCCAATTATTCTAGACTATTTTGTTACCTTTTTTTTAATTAATTATACAAATATATTTGAAACAAATCTGTGTAACAATTTTTACAGTAACAATACTAACAGAACAAACCAGATATACAATTAATGGTCACATTTTACATAAAACAAATCGGTTATCATCTGAAGCATTTTCAAAATTATATAAAATGCAACATTGTGAACAACTTTTTTGTGTGGACTATATGAATAGTAATAACTACTCATAATTTTTCATTGACAAAGCTTGTAAGATATGTCCCCCATTGAAACATACCCATCATATTGCTTTTTACAAGTGTGACATTAGATAAAGCAACATGTCTCATACTAAATTAAGTGGCAAAATTTATAAAAAAAAATTAGTATGATTGGCAATGATACAACTTTCCACTAGAGACCAAATGATGTAAACGTAAGAGGTCACCAAAATGTACACAAACAATGTAACCATTAACTTTATATCTGTTTGTTTCTAATCAACAAAAACAACATGGCAAACTATTGCACAAATTTCATACATAAACAATTCTATACACAAAACTTACATCTATTATTTATAGACATGATGTAGTCAATAAATAAATCACCCATTGCACTTTGTTTTGAAAAACCTATATATACATGTATATAATGAGGATGACTATCATCATTTGTGTTGTTGCACTATCAGAATACATTCTTTTAGAACACTATTTAAAGAAAAAACTATACTAAAAACTGAACTATCTTCAATTTCCTTGCACATTTGACTGCAACAGGCCTTAAGCTAATCTTTCATTATTAATTTAAATAATTGCTGTCTTCTTACTCTGTATCTAAGTAGAAGTATTATTTAAGTATAATTATCTTATGTATGCTTGTAAATTTTAGTCCTAAAATGCATATGCTACAATATCATTTTATATCTGAACATTAACAAGTTTTGCACAAAACATTTGACATTTTGAAAATGAAATATACAATATTTTAATAAAATCTTATGGCACTGTACAAAATATGTAGATTTGTGATGAATTTGTATATTGTGACAAGTGTAAGCATGAAAAAAGATTTCTGTAACAAAAATCTACAATAATTTGAGATCCATACAAAGAATCAATAGCGTTCTGATATCTGACTGCAAATCACCCATTTTTTTGTCCATTTTCCCAATGCTAAAATTATTTTCAAATAACACATATTGAATGTAATGTCAAAATGTTCCTTAAAAGGCCTCTTCTGGTGTAAATACTGACTACTGGCTAACTGACCCTGGCTGTTGTATCACAGAAAAACATTACAGTTACAGCTGACTGGTTTTTTTCTGGAAAAGAAAGTTTGTATTTGTTTCAATAGATAGTAATGTAATTAAAACAAAGACTAATTATAAGCCGGCTGGATGAAGGTCGTCAGCCTTGGAAGGCAATTCATCTAGGAGAAGAAAACTCTAATATAAAATTTCAGGTAGATTTGACTCGTCAGCCTTGGTCCGTAATTGATCTAAAGGAAAGAAACCTTGAGTAAAGATTCTTTGGATCTCCAGGTTGGGGATTGAGTGATAGGCCAACAACCTATCCTCATAATAAAATGCTTCGCTGGGCGCAGCTTGATACGACCGCAGAGGTCTAACCCTGAACAGTTGGGGCAAGTATGGACACAACATTCAAGCTTGATACAGCTCTGAATTTGGATTGTGATTAAATATTTGACACAGCATAGGTTTCTGACACAGAAAGAATGTGGTCTAAGAACTTTAATTTTTTTAATTTACCTATTATGGTCCAATGTCCAAAATCAAAATACATGGTTAGATTCAGCATATCAAAGAACCCCATATATTCAATTTTTGTTGAAATGAAACAAAGTTTAATTTTGGACCCCAACTTGGACAAACTTGAAAACTGGTCCCATAATCAAAAATCTAAACACATGTTAAGATTCAGCATATCAAAGTACCCCAAGAATTCAATTTTTGTTAAAATCAAACTAAGTTTAATTTTGGACCCTTTGGACCTTAATGTAGACCAATTTAAAAAACGGGACCCAAAATTAAAAATCTAAAAACACGGTTAGATTTAGCATATCAAAGAACCCCAATAATTCAATTTTTGATGAAATCAAACAAAGTTTAATTTTGGACCCTTTTGACCTCAATATGAACCAATTTGATAGCCGGCCCACAAATAAAAAATCTAAATACATGGTAAGATTCAGCATATCAAAGAACCCCATATATTCAATTGTTGTTGAAATCAAACAAAGTTTAATTTTGGACCCCAATTTGGACCAACTTGAAAACTGGGCCAAAAATCAAAAATCTAAATACATGTTTAGATTCAGCATATCAAAGAACCCAATATATTCAATTTTTGTTGAAATCAAACAAAGTTTATTTTTGGACCCCAACTTGGACCAACTTGAAAAAATCAATAATCTAAACACATGTTTAGATTCAGCATATCAAAGAACCCCAAGAATTCAATTTTTGTTAAAATCAAACTTAGTTAATTTTGGACCCTTTGGACCTTAATGTAGACCAATTTAAAAAACGGGACCCAAAAATTAAAAATCTAAATACACGGTTAGATTTGGCATATCAAAGAACCCCAAGAATTCAATTTTTGATGAAATCAAACAAAGTTTAATTTTGGACCCTTTTGACCTCAATATGAACCAATTTGATAGCCGGCCCACAAATAAAAAATCTAAATACATGGTAAGATTCAGCATATCAAAGAACCCCATATATTCAATTTTTGTTGAAATCAAACAAAGTTTAATTTTGGACCCCAATTTGGACTAACTTGAAAACTGGGCCAAAAATCTAAAATCTAAATACATGTTTAGATTCAGCATATCAAAGAACCCCATATATTCAATTTTTGTTGAAATCAAACAAAGTTTAATTTTGGACCCCAACTTGGACCAACTTGAAAACTGGGCCCATAATCAAAAATCTAAACACATGTTTAGATTCAGCATATCAAAGAACCCCGAGAATCCAATTTTTGTTAAAATCAAACTAAGTTTAATTTTGGACCCTTTGGACCTTAATGTAGACCAATCTAAAAAAACGGGACCAAAATTAAAAATCTAAATACACGGTTAGATTTGGCATATCAAAGAACCCCAATAATTCAATTTTTGATGAAATCAAACAAAGTTTAATTTTGGACCCTTTTGACCTCAATATGAACCAATTTGATAGCAGGGTCCACAAATAAAAAATCTAAATACATGGTTAGATTCAGCATATCAAAGAACCCCATATATTCAATTTTTGTTGAAATCAAACAAAGTTTAATTTTGGACCCCAATTTGGACCAACTTGAAAACTGGGCCAAAAATCAAAAATCTAAATACATTTTTAGATTCAGCATATCAAAGAACCCCATATATTCATTTTTTGTTAAAATCAAACAAAGTTTAATTTTGGACCCTTTGGACCTTAATGTAGACCAATTTGAAAACTGGACCCAAAATTAAAAATCTAAATACACGGTTAGATTCGTCATAACAAATAAATAAATGTGGTCAATGATTTTACAAATCTAATGCGCCATACTGGTCTTCCTTTATAAATATGCATTTCTTTAAACATAATTTAAAAGCAGTGTAAGGGAAGTAACCAAAACGTTGTATTTGGATTACCTCCCTTACACTGTTTTAAATTATCTTAATTGTTCATTAACCATTACTTTATACATAATTTAAAAGCAGTGTAAGGGAGATAATTTCAATGATGTATTTGATTTATCTCCCTTACACTGCTTTAAATTATGTTTTGTACTAAAGTATTTGTCCATTAATGAGGACAACCTTGTTTTTCCCCCTTTTTTGCCCCTTAATTCTTAAACGGTTTGAGCAATAACCCCCCAAAGCAAATCCTAACCATCCCTTTGTGGTATGGAAACTTGTAGTATAATTTCAGAGAGATCCATACACCGTTCCACAGTTATTGTCTGGAAACTAGAAAATGCTTATTTTTGGCCCCCTTTTGGCCCCTAATTCCTTAACTGTTGGAACCATAACCCCCAAAATCAATCCCCACCTTCCTTTTGTGGTATTGAACCTTATGGTAAAATTTCATAGAGATCCATTCACTTAAACTAAAGTTAGAGTGCGAAAACTAATGCGTCTTCGGACTACGACGCCGGTTGACGACGACGACGATGCCAACGTCATACCAATATACGACCACAAAAATTTTTTTGCGGTCGTATAAAAACTATAAAGTTACAGAAACACGAAACGCGCCCTATGCGACACATGGCACTTACGGGAGTTGTAAGTTGTAAGTAATTATAAATAAGAAGATGTGGTATGAGTGCCAATGAGACAACTATCCATCCAAGTCACAATGCGTAAAAAGTAAACAATTGAAGGTCAAAGTACAGCCTTCAACACGGAGCCTTGGCTTACACCGAACAGCAAGCTTTAAAGGGCCCCAAAAAGACTAGTGTAAAATCATTCAAACAGGAAAACCAACGGTCTTATTTATATTAAAAACGAGAAACGTGAAACACTTATGAACCACACCAACAAACAACAACCGCTGAACAACAGGTTCCTGACTTAGGACAGGTGCAAACAAATGCAGCAGGTTAAAAAGTGTCTGGTTTTATATATTTGGTCTATCACATGAACAATTTACATTCTTATTCATTCAAAAATTAAATGCACTGGTCCTTTTTATTTTTCATTTTACTTTAATGTAATTTAATTAATTAGGGATAATACCAATATGATTTGCTTAAAACAATTTACGGTTAACAACAACATGCTCCAACAAAGGAAATGGCGTTTATTTTGTAGGAGTTCCATTGTTTTTTTACTTGAAAAAATTTCAGTACAGGTTTATTGTAATGGAAATTATGAGTCAAAGTTGGTTTTAAATTGAGACCCAGATATATCCCTGAACTGATGAACAGACCAGATTGATATTTAATTGTTTTCAGATAATCACTGAAATTAAGATTAAGTAAACAGCAACGTCACTCTATTATTGTGACACAAGTCAAGTATCCTCCATACTGTATTAAGATGTAAACAATCGAATATAAGCTACCAGCAGAAAATATAATAATTATCTGATTGATTTAAAAATTTTCCATGATGGACATTAATATGATGAACAATTTGTAAAAAAAGACCTTCTATTGAAACCATGATAGAACTGTAATCCTCGGCAAGATACCATTACAACAACAAGAATGTCAAATGACCCTCATCCTGCGTAACTTAACGTCACTTCATTTAACAAAACTGATTGAAATGTTTGTTTAATTCAGTCAGACATAACATGTCTATAGAAAAACTCCAACGACCCATCACTGAAACAATCTACCGTCATTTTCTTCTTTATTTCTACATAATTAAATACAACAGTCTCAACAGATTTTAACAAAAGCTGGTTTAACTAAAGCTTCTTTTTAACAAAGATTACTACTTGAAACTTTCTTGTGATTATGATCTGATCATATAAAGAAGTAATTAAATTGAATCTTTTTGAAAATTTGAGACATTTTGTTACTTTTATTATAAACATGATGAATAAAAAGAACAATACATAAATAGAAAGATGAAGCAGCATCCTTTTGTTTGAAATCTGGTCACTACTAAGTCAATATATACATCACACCTCAAGAAGTTCCATTTTTCTCAGAGGCTACTATTAAGGAAAGGAAGAGAAGATGGAATTTGACTGATACTGTACCTTCAAATCATTATATTTTCACACAAAAAATGCAATAGATTCTAATTATATTGAAACTTCAAGCTGAAAATGAGGAGATCTGAAACTGACTGCGATGAGAGATTACATTCCATTTCCCACATTACAATAGCACTCTTTGTGCCACTTAAATGTCGTCTTTGAAGGCAGCTGATTTTTGTCACTAAAATGTTGTTTTTCAAGGCAGCTGACTTCTCAAACAGGGTTATGAATTATGTTTATTAAGAAGTTTTTGGTAAGGAGATGATCTCTCAAGACTGTCATAAATTTAACAATCATTTTCTTAAATTTCTTTAACGATTTTGTAAATTTTGTGATGTTTTTATAATCTGACATCATATACAACATTCAAAAAACATTTAAAATCAATTTAAACTTATGCAATCATACTTTTTAAAAATTAATATGTGTTTACATTCATTACAAATGGTTACTACTCCCAGCGGATCGTTTGTTCGCTCAGGTTTCACTTTGAAAACAGTTCACTCTGTTTATTTCCATTCATAACTGACAAACACAACAAGGCCATGATTAATATTCTAACATTAAAAATACTGTGTTCATTATAACAGGCATAACATGCGTTTTGTTACATACAAGATCTCGAACACGATATGAAGATTGCGTGACTGCACCTCATGTTTGTATAAACCACTTCTTAGGTCAAAAACAATCATTATAAAACCAGTGATAATAGACATCATGCACAAATTGCATGAAGATCGTTAATCGACCGATTTCGGGTCAAAATAATTACCATCTAAGTTTGAAAAAGGATAAAAACAGTATGTCATATGCCAAACACAACGCTGCTGTAAATAAAAAGAATGGTCTCAATGTAATCTTATACTCTGCAGATTGTATAATATTATCTTCAAATATTACAGAGGAAAATAATATGCAAACAATTTATTTAAAAACACCCTATCTGCATGACTCCACCTACTAGAAAAAATGTCATGCCTAAATGCAAAACGCAATGAAGCGATATTTAAACTAAGTTATAACTAACAAATATTGTGTACACGGACCATTCAGGGTCAAAACAATTTTATTCATTAAAGCTGAACGATACGGAATGGCGAGTATTAGGTTGCAACTTATAAACCCAGAACATGGTAAAATATGCCTTTTTGAATTAATTTGATATAATTCAACCCCGTCAAAGTTGGTAGCTTCTGAATGGAGGCTTTGTTTTGATATCGACAAGATCCTGCATGGCGTCACTACAGTGGTTGACCTATATATAGCAATTCAATTATAGTCATTGTCCGATCAAATTTTCTGTGAGTTTGTACAATAGAATTTGTTTACGAGATTTGAAAAATAATAGCATGCATTGACATTATGTCAAAATTAAAAAACATTAATATCTGTTAATTACTGTTGACGTTTTCATTTCCAAGTTTTATTCATACCTATGTTAAATATAGAATTAATAAATATTACAGTACTAATTTTTTGTCATAAAATAGAAAACTGCTTATCAATTACATCAAACGCACCCTTTGTATATTTCAAGGTTAGACATTAGATTGGGTTGTAAATTTTGATATCGTTTATGCAACCCCTACACATATTATTGTAATATAATGAATCATCATGCCTGATTAGTTTTTATGTAACCTAAAGAGTTATATGATACAGGGATCTTGGATATGTTTGTGTCGATGTAATTTGTACAGATTACAACCAAAGGAAGACAACTCTAGCAGATCTTTATGGACCATAATGTTTTGAAAGTGAAACGACTGATTGATTGATTGATTGCTTAACATTGTGTAGATTGAAACAAGAGAAAAAAAATGCATTTAAAAAATGTTACATTATAGAACTTTTCAAATATACATTAATGAGAGAGCTGACAATCAAACTAAAATAATTTTGTTAACAGCATAAGCCTGTGAAGCTTTGAATTGTTACCTATAAAAATTTTAGTTCAGAAACATCAAAAAAGATTTTCTTTACAAAATGTATATTTTTTCAAAGTGCGATGCACTTGAAATTTACTCTCCCATCAAATGATCATTATAATTTATATCACACCTTTATCCCAATATCTTCAAAACAACATAGAAAAAAGTATACCTCAATTTAAACCATGCTTCCTTTACTCTAAATCCATTGGATGTTGGATGTGTGTTGATTGATACTTTAGTCTTAGATACATGAATTTTAATTAAGTTGTTGTTTGAACTAGCTGTCAGCAACTGCGAGTACTCTCAGATCTGTACTAAGTGTCTTTTTTGTTGTAAGGATGTATAAATACCCTGTCACATCCAGTCTGTGTTTTTGTTACTTGTTTTTCTGCTTTGTATCGATCTGATGAGTTAAGCCCTTTTCAACTGATTTTTATAGTTTGTTCATATGATGTACTGTTACACCACTGCCCCAGGTTAGGGGAGGGATGGCGCTTTGGTGCCCACTAACATGTTAAACCTCGCCACATTCTCTATGTGCCTGTCCCAAGTCAGGAGCCTGTAATTCAGTGGTTGTAATTTGTTGCTGTATATCATATTTGTATTTCGTTCATTGTTTTTACATAAATCAGGTCGTTATTTTTCTTGTTTTTAATTGTTTTGCATTTGTCATTTAGGGCCCTTTTAAAGCCAACTATGCGGTATGGGTTCTGTTCATTGTTGAAAGCCGTACAGTGACCTATAGTTATTAATTTCTTTGTCATTTGGTCCCTGGTTGAGAGTTGTCTCATTGTCAATTTAATCACATCTTCTTATTTTTTTTATTCTTATTAATTAGCTGCTGGGAAATCATTTTTTTTTACAGCTTGCCAAAAAAAAAAAAAAAAATTTGAAGGTTTTTTAAAAGTATCAAGAGTGGATAAGTATTGTACAATTTGGAATCAAAGCATTATTTGAATTTATAAAAAAAAATGTGGACACATGATGCCCCCGCTTGCATATCATATAGTTATAAAGGGACAAAACTGAAGAACAATAAAAGTGACGCTACCCAAATTTGAACTTGATCTGAGTTTTGTGTGTAAGTCTCATAACATTTGGTTGAGGCTAACTTAAGTAGAGAACAGAAACTAAAAATTCAGCAATTTTTCTATTTATAAAGGGGCATAACTCAATAATGGTTAAAGTGACACTACCCAAATTCAATTTGATCTGTGTTTTATCAGTGGAAGTCATAATTAAACATTGCATTGTATAAAGCATTCATTGTAGTTGATTCAACTATAATCATGGACAAAGGAAGATAACTCCAATTTTAAAAATAACTTGATATTTAGAAGAAAATAAAAATTTTGCAATTTTTTCCATTTATAAAGGGGCATAACTCTAGAACGGTTAAAGTGACGCCACCAAAATTCAAACTTGATCTGTGTTTTGTGGTAATAAGCATTGTGTATAAGTTTCATAACATTTGGTTGAGACAAACTTAAATTAGAGAACGGAAACTAAATATTTTGCAATTTTTCCATTTATAAAGGGCATAACTCTAGAACGGTTAAAGTGAAGCCACCAAAATTCATACTTGATTTGTGTTTTGTGGTAATTAGCCTTGTGTATAAGTTTCATAACATTTGGTTGAGGCAAACTTAAGTTAGAGGACGGAAACTAAATATTTTGCAATTTTTCCATTTATAAAGGGGCATAACTCTAGAACGGTTAAAGTGACACCACCAAAATTCATACTTGATCTGTGTTTTGTAGGTAATAAGCCTTGTGTATAAGTTTCATAACATTTGGTTGAGGCAAACTTAAGTTAGAGAACGGAACCTAAAAATTTTGCAATTTTTCCATTTATAAAGGGGCATAACTCTAGAACGGTTAAAGTGACACCACCAAAATTCAAACTTGATCTGTGTTTTGTGAAAATAAGCATTGTGTTTAAGTTTCATAACATTTGGTTGAGGCAAACTCAAGTTAGAGAACGGAAACCAATTTTGGGACGTACGGACGGACGTACGTACAAACGGACAAGGGTAAAACTTAATGCCCCCACCGCTACGGCGGGGGCATAAAAATTGTATTGAATTTGCACTATATCATGTTTTGTGTTCATCCATTTGCATTTATCTCCATATATTCTATGGAGTATATTAGAAATTCAGTGCAAAGTAAGAATTGCAAGTCAAAATATTGCCAAATATTGTATGTTAATTTTAGAAAGATATCTAAGGTAAATATTTGATACTTAATATTATATATCTAGCATCCCATCCAAATGGCTACCTCAATTATCAACTCAAGATAGATCAATTTTCAAACATTAAAATGGGAAGTTTACAGAGTGTATCAAAATTTGAACATTAACTACCAAGAGTGTATCAATATAAATATATATATATCATAAGTGGGAGAGAGGTATAATCTGTTTCAGGTGATTTAGAGGAAAATTCAATGTGCAAAGTTCTGAATATATAAGGTGGAAAATTTAATTTAATCACTAGATTGGGTATAAAAATTTATCAAACTGGTGAGAACCTGTGCACCAAGAATAAGACAAAAAAACATATGACATCTGTGCACCAAGTAAAACGTTGTTGTTTTCTCAAGAGAATTTTAATGTTAACAGCTATTAACAAAATGACTAAGTGGGAGTCGAGGTAAATTGAAAAATCAAATAAAATTGTCATCTATTTTTGTATTAAATGCCAATTGTAAAGTCTAATGCATGTAAACAGCTGTATTGCATCTGAACACATGTATTAAATGGTTTATCAAAGTATTTATTATATAATTTCTACCTTCAACTTCCTCAATTTTTTTTCTTCAAAGTCATACAGTATTTAACGAAGCTTTCGATGATGATTTACTTTGTGAAGAATCTTCTGCATCACTCTGACTCAGTGTTCGTTCAAACTCTTTTGCCTCCTCTGCAGCTTTTTCCTTCTGAGCCATCTGGTAAGCTACCTCGAAAGCTTCTCCAAGAGTCATAATCACCTCTCTAGCTAAATCCTAGAACAATATACAAATAATCAGATAAGTCAATTGTTACATGTACAATAATAAAATTACAAACTTTCTTGCAACTGGTTTATAGTTCAATTCTATCAAGAGGTTTATTAAAATGTTTACTTGTTAGAATCACTTTTGGAATCAGCTGAGAAGAGGTGATTTTACCTATGATTTATAAGTCATTTTAATTTCAACAATTATCAAATTAGTTCCAACTATCTCTTGACAGAATTTTGATTAAAACAGCCAGTAATATTGATAAGGTTGTAGTATTTTAACACGTCATGTCATATGAAAAATACTAAAATTAGATGCAGATATCCAAGGGTTGACTGTGGTATAGAATGTGGTTATATTGTCATCTGGACTCCAATAAAACCAATGCTAGAGGAATGTAGATTTCCTGCCTTATGTTGAAGACTACCATGCTCTCTGAGAGGCTAGAGGAATGTAGATTTACTGCCTTATGTTGAAGACTACCATGCTCTCTGAGAGGCTAGAGGAATGTAGATTTACTACCTTATGTTGAAGACTACCATGCTCTCTGAGAGGTTAGAGGAATGTAGATTCACTACCTTATGTTGAAGACTACCATGCTCTCTGAGAGGTTAGAGGAATGTAGATTTACTGCCTTATGTTGAAGACTACCATGCTCTCTGAGAGGTCCTGAGCGTTACCTACTGCAAGATATAATTTATTTCTGCTACCACCTAATTTACTCTCTTTTCCAATTTTTCCAGAAAATAATACCTATATTAACCAAAATTTACAATTTAACTTTTTAATACTTTGATATTAATGATGTAGGGTAGATAAACTACGGAGAATATTATTCTAAATTTTGAGAATATATCAGTGTTCTCTGCAAAAATTTCATATAACTTAAATATTCTGGTAAGCCTGGTAGTTTTGAAGGAGCATCTGTTTTGAAAAAATAAGGCCTCAGATCTTCAACTTTGAAATTACTTTTAATTCACTTGTGATAAAATAATAAACCCTCACACTTGGTACATAATGTATTTTCAACAGAATTTTTGTACTTGTATATTTTTTTTCTGTTACGTGAGAAAATTATAGTGCACCAAATGCAAATATTGTTTTATTTACAAGTCAATAAATTTGTTCGGTAACACCACCAACAATAAGCAGCCATGTGTACTTAGCATAAGCTTGCCCTGCAGGGAGCAGATCAAAGAATGAAGATGTTCCCGGCCAATAATACACCACTACAATACAATGCTCATCTACCATAAAACAAAATCCTACGCTGGCTCTTAAAATACAATTATTTAGGTTTCCGTAATGGTTTGTTAGTCGACAACAATAATTGCATGAAATCTCAGTTCTCAACCAGACTTCAAAGAAGAGATCAAAAGTCGTGCCCACATGGGGTAGAAAGCCTGTTCAGTAGGAGTCGTAGGTCACTTCTATCAAATCCAATAGGGATAAACTTAATCTCTTGTGACGCTTAATCTTAATGGATTCATTTTGATTTTGCTAATTTGTCATTGAAGTGATTTTAGTGCATAATAACGTAATGGAAATTATAAATAAAATTTCTTGTATAAAGGCCATTCCGATTGTTACTGTACAATGCTTATGGCTTTTCTTTATAGCCATGTTTTGTTAGTCATATATAATTTCTATGAAACAAGGAGCGTTAAAAACATGTCATTTATACGATGTTGTTTTTTCATTATTATTTTAGTTAGATTATATAGGAAAAATTCTCTTGAACAAATAAAATAAACAATAGTGTTGTCAGAAAATCAAGCTAAAAGCATTTTTAAACTTGCTCTTCTGTTTTAAAAACACTGCACACTTTTGTTCAAGATGAAAATATAGCAATACAAGCACTGTATAAGATATTAGTTTCCTCAGATAATCTATGTACACTTTATGTTTCCTTAGTTGGTATGCAAACTCACTATTATAAGTTATAAATGGATCCCAAAAATATTCAATTATGTATCTGAACAATGTCATATACATATATACAAGTTTGATTTACTAGTGGTATACCTGCATGACATAAGTCATTGAATACAGAGTTTATTCTAAAAAGGAGTGTCCTGTAAATAACTCTTTACATCATTTTCACTGATTTATTCAAATGGAGGTGATTATTTAATAAACCTTATTTTGTTGATATTGGTTATATTTTGACATATCAATTTTGCACATTGCTAAGTTCATATTGAAAGTGTAAAATCTGAACTTCGCATTTACTGATTTTTTTTACAGAATAAATATTTTTATTGCAACCAATATTAGTAATCAGCAAATATAACAACCATATTTTACTATTAATTTCATATATTTTAAGTCTGTAAATCCTTTAACTTTCTGAAGTACAATGTTTTATTTTTTTTAATTTCATATTCTTTTTCCAAATACTGAATGATCTCATATAAAACAGACAACCAAACACACAAGGCATGCATGAATACACTTTTTAAGACCAACATACAGTAAATCTATTTAATATAAATAACATACGAAGCCATCAAGTACCGATTTGGATAACCGTTAATTAAACCAATTCACTAAGGCAAAGTCTAGGACACATCAATAAAGCCAAAGGGTATCTGAATATTACCGGACATTTAACCCTACAATTATGGCGTAGTTTATTACAATTTAACCCATTATTCTTTAGACATTTTGACAATAAGAATAGGTGCAGACAAGTCAATGACAAGAATAAGAATGTCTATTATAAAGTCTTATAAGTGGCTTACATTTATTCTATTTCTTACAAAATTTGTATTTATTCTAAGTGAAACCTGTATATAAGAACGATAAAACAGAAAATTGTGCATTTTATACACAGGCAAAAACAAATGAATACAAATAATAAATCTCAAGAAAATTTTTATTTTGGAATGCATAAACAAAAGTGGAAAAGGACTTTTTTCTGTTTGTGCATGTAAAAGATTGTTTACAAAAATAATTTGTTGATAAAGATAGAACTGTCAGTGATTTTAATTGTTAAATCAATATTAAATTGACAATATGCTACCATTACTACCATCTTGTATAACAAAGGGAATATTAAACTATACCACCCACATACACTATAAATATCTTATCTCATCACAAATCAATATACGCTGACCTTTCACTTATTTAAAATCATTTAGGCTTCATATCATTTTTTAAATAACTACAGAATGGATTATTTACTTCTAAATTACTGGCGACTATCAATTGACAAAAGTCTTTCAGGTACAAAATGTTCAAAACAAAGTTAAAGTTGTCATCGTAGGAGGAGATTTTCTGACATAAGCGTGGACGAGGATTTAAATGTTGACAGGTATTATAAGTATGCTGGACAGATGGCGATAAAACCTGCAGATAGTCAGGACAGATGTAAAATCGCCAAGGCTTCCCTCCCTTACCTAATGATGGATAAAATTAATTGGACAAACTGAAAAATTTTGGTAAATCGGGCGAACAGTGTGTAACCATGCATAGGTTTAAGTAGTAAAAGGGAGATAACCACATTACAAATTTACCAATGGCTGAAACATCATTTAATGAAATTCTTGTTGCAATGACAATAGAAATAATTAATTTCTTGTTTGCAGTAATGCCTTCAATGCATAAAGACCTGCCTTTTACACTAATGATGTATAATAAAACTGTGTGATTTCTGTCATGGGTTCATTTGGGGTCATTCTCGCATGAATAACCTTAAGATTGAATGGACTATCAATTAGTAACATGAAAATTCCTTGTTATGGATCTAATTATATCTGACATTGTGTAAATGTACATAATAAAGGAAGTTTTAATTCCCCTGGAGCATATCCAATGTGACAATATATAAGTGGAATACCTACCCAAAAACATGTTCCATTATTTCTATGATTATTATAAACATCATGTTTTTTATATACATGTAATATCAAGTCAACATTTAGCAACATGGTTTCTCTATAAAGTATTAAATATCAGCATGATCAGCTTCATATTGCAGAAAAAAATATAAAATTATGATAAAACGACATGTATGCTAGAATCTTTGCCTTTTTGATATGAATGAGTTTTGTGTGTAAAATTTTTTACAAAAAACACTTTATAAATTTATGCATTCCACGCAATCACTTTTCTGGATTTACCTTCATCAGAAACTTTCAAAGCCAAATATTTGATAGCCAAGGATGTAGAAGTACAGAAACATGTGAAGAGTTTTATAACCAAAAGGGACCTAAAAATATAGACAAATCTACCTAAGGTCAACTTTGCATGAGGGAGTCAAATAGTCTTTACACTAAATGTATAACAATAATATACATTTACCAGTATTGGGGTGTATACTACCTAGAGAAGTCCTTACACTGAACATTTGCCTATCATTCTTTCTTGTGATGTGTGTGCATATTTGTGTGTGTGTGAATGTATGTACGTTTGTGTATTTACTTACAGCAGTCCTTACACTGAACACATGGCAATAATGTTTGCAAGTTTCATTGTCTCTTGTGATGTATGCAAAGAAGTTCATACTCTCTGCGTCCTGGCATGCACAAAATATGTTTACAATCTCATGATCACAGATAACTTTCTGAAATGATAAAACATACTTCAAGTTAAAGGACAAAGTTGATACAAACATAAAGATTATATGCAACAACCAAACATTTCTCAAAATAGCAAAAACATTATTAATGCTAAGATTAAATTGCATGTTCACTGTCAAAATTTATCAAAAACATTATTTTGAATAATTTATCTGCAAAAAATAAAGATTTGTTTTTTATTTCATAACAGGTACATATCTAGAACATATTCAGCTAAAATTCTTACCTTCGATTTGGCATCTATAAATTTGACCCCTCGATAAGATATTGACAACATAATGGTTGGGATCTTTGCTATGGCATCTGCTGATTTCTGAGGAAAAAATAATAAATGATGTATAATTACAAGATTGCAATAAATTAGAATCAAAGATTAAAACATATAAGGTCCAAATATTGCTGGTGTACCTGCTTATAAGGCAGATAACATTTTAAATTCTATTATTTTGTACTTTTTCCTGTATAAATATATTTCAAGGTATAAATATATGTGTTATGTGTTGTAAACTATAATAATAATAATAATAATAATTTACATAGGTTATTCATATGTAGGTTATTCATATGTTTATTGTTAAAGAATAATTTCGAGATTAAAAACCAAAACTGTTTGTTCACATATTGAAAAAAAATTAATAACAAGACTAAAATTTTAGTCTTTTCAGAAAGACTTTAATGAAACCAAAAAAAGAAAGGAAAAAGAAATGTAGTAAAGCTTTCTAATTTAAAGAATACAATATCAATCTTTCAATAATGGAAATTCTGGTGTAATTAAGATAATATTGCTAACAAATAAACTCAAAATCTTTAAAGAACTATTCATATAAGAACCACATAAACCTCAATAACAATTCAAATAAAATGGTTGATAGAACATTAATTTTTTTGTTGGTTAAACTGGCAGAAAATTCTCTGATCTTTACAATGTCATTATATTTGTTTAGCATGGATTATTACTGAATTGGGTATCAAATTTAAACAGGAAAATGTAAGGACTGATCAGGATGACTTTAACAATCTATCTTTTCATCAAAATGATTAATGAGTAAAAGGAAGAATACAACATCATTAGCCTCATCTTTAAACCAAGGCTCTTTGATTTATATCCTTATATATCTTTATCATAAATGCTTCACTGAATCTGAAAATGAATGCAGAAGTCATTACTGTTTTTAAATTAATTTTTGCTCTGGAAATTGTCGGAAATGAAGTATTTGGAACAGAAAGAAATCAAACTTAAAGAAAAGAAACGCATGCACTGTCCTTATCTAGTCCTCAGTTCTATAAGATGCAAGTTTCATTAAGCAACATCATATATTAATTTCCCATATCGATGACGAGATTTGGGAATAATGTCAAAGGCATAAGACATCTACGACCCTACTACCAATGTCATCATTGTAAACACATTCATCACCACTTGGAGTTCCGCTAAATAGCAACGATATCAATACATCTGATGATCTTTCATGGAAACGATCGAGTCAGCTGATGCAATCTTACATGAGACGTACACTTCATAACGATCAAAAGTGAAAATGGTGAAATATAAAATATGAAGATGAATGTCCTGATGTGAATTAATATATCTATGCTTCATTTAACATTTTATCGGGAGAAAACTATTATCTATGGTGGGTTCTAGACCAGCATGCCAAAGTGTCAATCAGTGATTTAATCCTTTTGTCCGGGGAAGAGATTCACATTCATCATCATAACATGAAAATAGCCCATTTTTATAATTAATTTTTTTCTTGGAATGTATTTAGTTCATAAAATAAAATGAAATATGTTCTGTATGTCGATGAGTGAGCAACCCCTTAACACAAATATATAGTAATCAAATATAGATATATGGGTTCCAAATACAGTTCTCAACAATGGATCCAAAATGTGTAGCTCATGTCAATGAGTGAGCAACCCCTTAACACAAATATATAGTAATCAAATATAGATATATGGGTTCCAAATACAGTTCTCAACAATGGATCCAAAATGTGTAGCTCATGTCAATGAGTGAGCAACCCCTTAACACAAATATATAGTAATCAAATATAGATATATGGGTTCCAAATACAGTTCTCAACAATGGATCCAAAATGTGTAGCTCATGTCAATGAGTGAGCAACCCCTTAACACAAATATATAGTAATCAAATATAGATATATGGGTTCCAAATACAGTTCTCAACAATGGATCCAAAATGTGTAGCTCATGTCAATGAGTGAGCAACCCCTTAACACAAATATATAGTAATCAAATATAGATATATGGGTTCCAAATACAGTTCTCAACAATGGATCCAAAATGTGTAGCTCATGTCAATGAGTGAGCAACCCCTTAACACAAATATATAGTAATCAAATATAGATATATGGGTTCCAAATACAGTTCTCAACAATGGATCCAAAATGTGTAGCTTGGAATTGTATTCAGTTTAATCAGCTTCTAAATAATTTCAATGCAGATGACAGGAGATCTGACTTCAAGATAAAAGTAGACAGTGACCAACACTGGGTATATTCCTAATTTGGGATAGGTACAATAGAAGTTGACAAGGATAAACTATTTTTCATGAAAGTTTAACCCTGCTTTTTTATCTTAAAGGGTGTGGTAATAAATCATCCAGTTATACTGTTTTCTTCAAGTTTAAAATGCTCACAACTTTTATTGTAGATCTACAAAAAAAGTTGTGAGCATTTTAAACTATATATTATGCGGAGTTCAGATTAAAAGTTTAAGTATTCCAACAGATCGTATTTCACAGAATTATGGTGCTTAAAGTTTTAATCTTCAAACATTAAATAAAAACCATAGTTGTTCCCACTTTTGAGTTTGTATTTCACTCCAACTGAACTAGTTTTGATTTCAGTGATGGTGTTGTACCCCAAACATCATACTATTAACTATGATGCAGGTATAAATTGGTCTAAATAAAAGCAGTGCCTTTTAATTCATAATTACTATTAATAAAGTTAAATGGCACCGATAGAGTCTGGCAAGATGCAGTTTTTTAAAGCATCTTTTTTGAGTCAGTCCTAAATCACATGGAACCTTCATGATCTCAGACTACAAACATTTCAATCATTTCTCATCAAAGTTGAACAAATTACAGCTTTAAAGACCTTCAAGCAGTTGTTTGCCTAAAAAATTCTGTTTTGATCTAACTAACTAACGAATAAGTTTTCCACTAAAAATTTTGGTAAAAAAGGCTACACAGAAAAAATACTTGGTCTGAAACTTTTAATTTCAATTTTTGTCATACCATCCAAAGTAACATTTATTCAAGGTTGGGAAATCGTGATATAAAAGATTGTGCACATATTTTTATTCTATTCAAACCTTTATAGAGATTTTCACTGAATCTTTCCGTTCAAATTTATTTCTGTGTAAGAATCTGATATTTAATCTATTTTGATAAAATGTCAATTTCATTCATTATTCAAAAGCATAGAATTAGATTACAACAGAGTGAAAAGAGAAAGAAATTAAACCTTTTATAAGATGAATTACTCAAATAATTTAGAAGAAGAAAATTTAATTTTCATTGTGCGGGTCATCTATTATAATAGACGCAAAGTAATGACACCGATTTGTGTAAAATCGTAGGTACGCTCAATTGAGTTAAGTAAGGTTGGATGAATCTTGCCGAGGAAAAACAGGATTCATTAAGTCTATACAATATGATGCGCTGCATTCAATCCAATAATGTCAGAAATTTCCAAATCAACATCAATCAGAATGGACGATATCGACATCCTTTGATTTTACATTTCTAAACCACTACAGTAGACTCCACCTAATCGGATATCGGCTAAACGAATATATCGGCTATAATTTTTTACACAAACATCGTGGTGATGTAACTGATAAAAATCACTCCATCAATCCTCCAGCCCTTTCACATATTTAGCAATTGTCAGGGTTAGTAACATCTCAGGATTATATCTACTCATTATTGCAGAATATTCAATGAATATACATTCATCGTCTAATTGAATATATCGGGTAATCGGATATTTTTAGCTGACATTTTGGGTATCCGATTTGCCGGAGTCTACTGTACTACAAACATTTTGTAAAGGTCATTTAATGGCGACTTCTTCATGGAGAGACAGACTTATTCAAAAACAGGAAAAATTAATGATGAACCATTCTGTACATATTAAATCAAGCTTTTCACATAAACTTCAAAGTACCGAACGTTTATTCTTGATCGTGAACATCAAATATGATATAAATGATAGAAACGTAGACCAGAATGGGAAGTAATTAAGGCGATTAATTAAATCATCTTGCCACAATTTGATGTCATCATAATATAGATGGTGCATGTTCACGGTCCAATGCACATTAGATTTGCCTAGTGAAATGATGTATGCAACCGTTTGTCAGTTCGGGAATGAATGCGGAAAAATCGTGCAAAAAAGCATGAACGAAGAGCAATCACAAATAAGGGAAAAAGATATAAGTTTGTTTAATGTATATAACAAATACAACTTAGTTCATGCTTGTGTAAGTTATCAAATACCCAATATACAAGACTCAAGCATGGATCATGGAACCTTAATGTGAAAATGAAATTGATAAGGCACGGATCATAGATTGACAAGAGTAGCTATAAGTATTAATAGACTGATCAAAGTCATTAATGCTAATTGATAGAGAAAACAAAATTAGCTATCAATTACTATTTATTTAATTTGAGAATCAATTACAGCAATTAATTAAGAATTATAAGTATCAATCAGTACACTCAGAATGGGTTTGAATAAATTTGTCGTTCCGCGGAACCATGTGTCTTGCCTGTGATTGCTGCTGTCAGTGTAAAAGTGTAATGTTGACTTCGAAAGTGAATCCATTTATCAGTAAAATACTTATTTAAAAAAAAAAAAAAATCAAAACTTTTTTCTTTAGATGCTATTTCTTGGTCTTGAAGATTAGCTTCTGTCCAAGTTTCATAACAATCCATGAAGGTTTACAAATTAATGTGTCAAAAAAAATTAATCCCAGACTGTCTGTAAATGTTAACTGTAAACAATGAAGTCCATCTACCAGAAAAATACTAAAAATGAAAAAAATATATTTTCAATGATCTGCTCCAGACATTATCTCTTATTCATTAAAAAGCTTCTGCAAAATGTTTCACAAAACTCTATGAAGGTTTAACAAAGTAATTAAAACTTTAACCCAGACTGTATTTACAAAAAAATTAAGTCCATTTATCAGTTAAATACGCAAAAATGAAAATAAAGATTTTCCAATTTTGCTTTGGATACTGTATTTTGGTTATAAATAAGCCTCTGTAAAAAT